AGTTAAGAAAATCTTTGATCATTTTTTTACCTTTCTATATTATGATTTAGTTGTACACTATAGTTAAATTGTAATGAATGTGGAGATTCAAATTTTAACTTTTTATAGGGATCATATGTTTGGAAAGCTACCAGACATCTCTGTTTAATTCATCTTTCTTTAAGTTATGGTTAGTTGCACAGCTGAAAAAGATCTCTGCTAAAGATTTGTTAATCAGTGAGGACAATTTCTTGTTAATATGATTCTCTCCGGATGTGTTACATGCCACCTTTTCAATTAATATGGCAAAGTCAGAAACCAGTTGTCTTAATGTATTTAGGAAGTGGCATCCACAAGAGGTCAAAAAACACCAAGATGGCACAGATACAACTGTACAATCAAGGCTCTGCACATGAAAAAGAGGTGAGCTTCAATCATATATAAATGTAGGTACAGATCTATGCAGTTCCTACCCTGATATTCCAGAAGTCTTTAAAAAAAACTGCCTTCTGTCTTTGGCCTGGGATATGGTGCTTGATGATACATGTTAATGGTGGGTTTTTTTGTTATATGGGATGAGGCTGTCTGAACACTTCAGATTTTCTCTTTATTGTTTTTATGGATTTCAGCTGTGGGTCACTTAGAATCATTCTGGAATCAGACTGTTGGACGCTGATGCTGATGATAACATCTTGACTGATTTGACCTATCCTACAAATGCCCTTGCCTCTGGGGAAGCAATTTAGGGAAGGCTGAGATAATCAATACAATATTATATGGATCAGTGATCTGCTCACAAGTTCCAATGCTATAGAATTGGAAATAAAATTCTTATATAGAACAGGGGTGTCAAACTCACGTCATCACGGCAGCATCACGTGACATATCGGGACTTTTTTCTCCTTTGCTAAAACGGGCATGGCCGTGGCCAGCACATGACACATCCAGCCTGCAGGCTGGGAGTTTGAAAGGCCTGAAATAGGACATTAACTTAAATCACCTTTTAAGAAGGAGGGTTGCAAATCTGATACATATGTATGCTGTTATCTTTGCTTTGTATTCTTGAATGCTATCATAGTATGACTGTTATATTTCAAAACAATTATATTTTTAAACCTTTCTGGGTTCTTCAAAATTGTACTGTTCTGTTTTTCGGAGACCTCTAGTATCTATCTACACCTTGCTTTAGAAAATAATTATTTTTTGTGACTGCTAATTTGGGTGGAAAATATTTAATTAACATTTGTTTGAAAATGTCTGCATTGCAAGAAAACTTATCAAAGCAAGGAAAGCACTTCCTTGAAATTGAATGAACTGGAACGCATGATAATGCACATGCTTAGAGAACCCGTAGGGGAGAAAAGAACCCATTTTATAAACACAACCTTGTTATTGTTGTAGTAGAATTTAAAGTGAAATAAAAGTGCTAGGCATTAACGTGTATAAATTCCAAAGCCTGTGACTGAAAAAGTAAACTGATACATACTGCCTATCTATAGGAAATGTAATCTCTTCCTTTTCAGAATAACAGCCTTCATTAGTTGCATTCACAAGAGAGCAGCTTTCTTCTGAAGGGGAGGAAGAATGTCCACCTGCTTACGACTGCAAGATGAATGATTTTTTTTGCAAGATGGTCCTGTCTTCCTACAACACTTCTTACAGTGTTGGCTTTCCACTGACATACGCTCTGTAAAGGTCCAGATCAGTTTTTCTTCTTGGTGGCTGAAAAATAAATATCAAAGGCTTTCAAAGGATTACTCCAAGTGCTCTAAAGATAAAAAAGATGAGTCATAAATACATTCAGTTCAATTTTTCTTGTTAACTGATGAAAGGCTTAATATGAATTTCAATCTAGTCCAAAAATAGCAATAATACACTCTTGTCTAAGATGGCAAGATCTGTCCTTGCTTTGACAGAAAAATACTATCTTGAAATAAATAGAAGCAAATAAATAGGTTTGTTGGTTTATCCACAGGATACTTCTAGACAATTCTTCTGTCTCCTCAAAATGGTAAATCTCTAATAGGAGGCAAGGCAGACATATCACGTCCAGTAAGAACACCAACTAACACTTCAAGGATACAAGAGCATACCATTCCTGAAGTAATGTTTACTTCTTTGAAATAACATTTCTTGTCTGTGGATATAATCCCACTGGGGCAGGAATATAATAAAAATAGCTTATACTTGCAAATTTATGTTTATGATCAACAGATCAACAGAAATTCTTCTTGCACACGTATCAGTCCAGCACCTTCATCTGGAAAGCATCCTAGAATGGACAGAAACTGTATAGATGTAATGTCACAATAGCTCTCGTACCAGCATAACAGCACAATGCTTCACATATCTCAGATAAGGGTAGTGAAAAAATAAGATATGGCAGAAATAAATAAGAATGTCAATTGCTCCAACCTAAGCTGCAGAACTGGGTTGGCCTTGAATTGGTGTCGTTTTCGTGATGGTCTGTGTATATTCACATAGCTGCATGCTCAGGATTATTGTCATAATCCAGAAAGCTAGATTTAATATATTAAAAAAACATTAATGGTACAAGTTATGATGCCACTACTGCATTTTTGTTGATTACTAATTACTGTCTGTTAGGGGACACTAGTGTTCTTTTTTTGTAGTAGTGCAACAGGAGCAGGCAAGTAGCAGACTTACTACTCCTTACTTTTATTATTAGTTTGAAATCCTACTTATCCTAACAGAGATACATGAAAACAGAGGAAACACCTTAACAAAGCCTTGTAGCTTGATGCTTCTGGCCACCATTTTCCTGGTAAGAAAATAGAATGTCATCTGTTCTTATGGAGATGCAAGAGGACATAAACTTAGTTTTAAAAACCAACATGAGCATTACAAATATGATACTGCATGTGGCTAAAAATATAATGTCATGGTTGAAAGATTGTGGGAATTCTGTTTCTATGTCTATGACAGGTTTATTCACTAACAAGATCCGTCAAGACAAAATAATGCCTTTATCATCTAAATCTCACTCATATATTTCATAGCTGGTTGAAATTCCAGAACAGTCAGTCAGCCTGGTTTCTTTATGGAAATCCTAATATATTAAATGATAGCCATGCCAAAAGATGATTAATGAAGCCGCTGCACAGCAACCTTTCCTTTTCATGTTGTTTATAAGCTCTGGCCATTTATGCAAAGTTTCCAGGTTTACATAAAAAGTAATTCATTGAAATGTGCCTACTTCATTCCAACAATTGAATGGAGGAAAATAAATATTATATTATGGCATTTTAGGATTATACCAAGGAGATCTAAAGTATTGGTACTACAGTATCATGGTTTGTAATAATAATTTCCATTATTTTTTTTCAAGTTTTGAAGTATCTTTGCTATAAATGTATCAGATCATTGATTCTATGATTTTTAACTATCTTTTAACTCTAGCATTACGTAAGGTAATGTTCCCAAAGATCACATGCAGAATAATTGAACTGAATCACAAAACAGCATTTTCAGACTGAAATACGAACAACTATATTTGCCCTTAATTTCAGCATTATAGTGATTACAATGTATAAGTCTACAGCTGTATTTGAAGATGGGTCTAGGTACTTTTTACACAGAGTAGGAGACCTACAATAAGGCATCAAACCTCTTCAATTAGAACATTTTCTTGAAAGTCTGATTTTTGCTTTCACAGAAAATAAGCAGGCTTGGGATAAAATCCCTCTTTCTTCTAACTTTATTAAACTGAGATTTGAGGTTGACAACCATAAATTAACTAGCCCTGTTGACTTCTATACAAAAAGTAAATGAATTTAACTTATAAAGTTACTTACTTATAATCAAATGACCATGATTAACAAAGAAAAGAGTTGCCATTGTGTTGCATTAATAATGAAAATTTAGTGGTCTTAAGATTTTTTGACATATTTCAATTAGTGTTATCTACAGTATTCTAGATTTTAATTATTTAATTAGGATTATGTGATCTTTTAAACATACTGGTTCTATTATTTGCACTGTGCTTATATATCCTCTGATAGCCTTTCTTTCTGAAGCATCTGAAAAACTGAAATATTTTGCTCTAGTTCCAGGTCATCATCAACTTTTCTGAGTCCTGCACCCCTCCTTTTTTTTTTTAAGAATACCTGTGGTGCAGGACAGACTTACTGGCTACTTCTTATATTTGTCAGAGACATCAGATACTTAGAACAACACTATAATGGTCAGATATAATTAATATGCCCTAATTTTAAATGTGTTTATTGTCTTCCACATAAAGAATGCTGAAAATGAGGAAAGATAGATAGAAGATCAAGATCACTTCACCAAGGAGGCCACTCTTAATGATCTGGGCATAAAGGAGTTTTAGCAGTTGGAACATCTATATCCCAACAACCCCACTCTACTCACCTAATCAATCTATTGTATAGGATCCCCCTAACCTACTTGCCCAGACTGAAGAAGCTACTTAGATAAGCACCAAAACATTTCAAAGCAACAAGAAAAGTCCAGTTACTATGAATCAACTTCCAGTCAGCTATATATAGCTCTTCAGGAAGTCCCATCAGGTTAGAAATAGGATTATTCCTTAGCTGATTTTGGGCACTGATGCTGAGCTTGTCGATCAGAAAGGTTGGCAGTTCGGNCCTTGTGTGCCCAATCACACTTGGCAATAATGAATTCCATTCCATTCCATCCCCATCCCAATTCATTCTATTCTATTCTGTTCTATTCTAAGACGACACGGGATCAAAAGACCCCTTAAGAAAACCTTTTACTCAACAGACTTTCAGCAAAAAGGAACTGAAGGGAAACTCAAACGACTTGTGGACCCAAGAGACTTTGATCATTGACTTTATACTCCACCACTTCCCACTCTCTGTCCCTCAGAAAGAACATCGAGTCGGGAGGAACGATGGGAAGGAAGGGCAGAAAGTTTCATAAACAAGAAGATACGAGTCGCGCGGAAATGAGGTCATAAATAGGTAGCCGGAACTTGTCTATGATAATTCGGCAGCTTCTGGTTTGATCACCTCCGGGGGGGAGGGGGGGATGTTGAGTGGTCTTCGTGCTACCGCCGGTTTAAACGGGAAGCCAGTTCCTTCGCGTCGCGGTAACGTAGGCCGGAAGTAAATACTCCTGCGTCGGAGAGCGAGCTGCCAGCTGCTGGTTGTTAAGAGCCACTTCCCTGCGGCCCATGGCCGAAGGGGAAGCCGCCCCGGTAGCGGGGCCCGCCGCGGCGTCTAGCCAAGGGAACGAGAAAGCGGGAGAAGCGAGCGATGCCGGCGTGGACTGGGTAGAAAAGTTGCGCGACGAGTGTGAGCCCGAGCAGCACTGGCAGTACCGGCGGGAGTTCCTGATTCGCAATGCGGAGGGCCTGTCCGTGACCCGAAAGGACGACGCCGACCGCGCGGAGCTCCGTCGCCTGGTCTCTTTCTCCAGGGTGTGGGCCAACCACATCTTCCTGGGTTGTCGGTAAGTTAGTTGCGGTAATATTTTTGGGGAGGAATTACAAAATTCAATGCGCTTTCACGAAACGCTGTATTTTAGTACAGTAAAAGGAGTGGAGGAAAAAGATTGATAGGGGTTTTAAAGGGTTTTTTAAAAAATGTTTTAAATCCCATCTTAAGTATTTTTTATAAATAACTCGAGGAAGTAAACACACCAAATACTCCTCCCGCCTCCTGTTTTCGCCATAATAAGCCTGTAAAGCAGAGGTCCCCAAACTTGCCAAGTTTGAAGACCTCTGCTATAAGGTTTGGGTGGAGAGAGAGAATGGCCAAGGTTACCCCGCCACCTTTCACGGGTAAGGCGGGACTAGAGCTATCAGCCTCCTCATTCCTAGCCTGATGCCTTAACCAACTGGCTCTCTGTTTTAAGCATAGATCTCTGCCCAATATAAATGCTTCCATGGCTATACAATTTGCAGAGATAATGTTTACCATATGAGATTTGCTCTTGGGGAGGAGGTGGGTGGGCTTGGAAGATTGCTTTGAAGTCTCCCACATTTTGCAAGAGGATCATTTTTTATTCTGCTTTTTCTTACAAACACTGTAACAGTCACAGTGGTAAATGTGGAAATCCTAAGCAGTCTTCTACCTTTTGTGCAACTGCATTTAATTATTGCAGCTGCTACTATGATAAAGCACAATGTCTTTATTTGGTATAACAGACCTCTGCAGAATATAATGATTATAATACATTGCAATTCTTGGGTAATCTTCCCAAATAAATTTCCTGTTTACTATTTTTCCTCTATGCCCAGATTTAGAGGATTGAAGGAAAAGTATTGCTGTAATACTTATGGGGCACCTACAATTAAATTATCCCCACTGACTTGATTGCATTTTTCTTTTCACTTTAAATGCTTGGTTCTTGCTTTCAGTCTGTTGGTGTTACTTTTGATAAATCATCCTAAATGTTTTCTGTTCACATAATAGAAATCTTAACTATAGCACAATCAACATTCCATGAGTAGAAATCCTTGTAGTAGCTTGTCTAATACCTCCACTGTACTCTCTTGGGGTGAGCCTAATACAGGTAGTCCTCGACTTCCAACAGTTCATTTAGTGACTGTTCAAAGTCACAACGGCATTGAAAAATGTGACATGACCTTTTTTCACAGTTACAACCTTTGCAGCATCCCCATGATCATGTGATCAAAATTCAACTGACTCATTTATGACTGTTGCTGTGTCCTGAGGTCATGTGATCACCTTTTGCGACCTGACAAGCAAAGTCAATGGGGAAGCTTAACAACTGGGTTATTAACTTATCAGCTGCAGGGATTCACTTAACAACTGTGGCAAGAAAAGTCATAAAATGGGGCAAAACTCACTTAAATGTCTCACTTAACAGAAATGTTGGACTCAATAGTGGACGTAAATCGAAGGCTACCTGTATGTTTTATTAGCCTAAGTACCTAGACTTGATATTTGTTTTTGTTTTTTAAATCAAGACTTTGAGCTTTTATTTATTGTGCTTTATATTAAATTTAACAATTGTACATCACCTTGAAATTCTAATCAGAATGATGTTTTAAATAGCTTAACTAAATAGTTTAACATGCACCAACCCCAATGCTTGTGCTTTAGAAGCCATTGATGCGCTAAATGTCATGAATATAGAATCCATTTTCCTCAAAGTGCTAATTTCTATCTTTCCTGCTTAGATATTCTCCGCAAGTGATGGAAAAGGTGATGGACATGGCTGTAGGCATTACAGTGACCAATGCTCCAACCCACACTCTGAGAGATGAACTGGTTGCCAAGGTGAAACGAGGCATATCCAGTAGCAATGGTTAGCAGATCATAGCTGGCAAATACACATAGGAATATATTTAACCAAATACATGTTAGCTTATTTGTTAAAATTGTTAATACTTCAGAAATTATTTTTATTTAATTACTGCTGTGATAATTCTTAAAACTTTTAAAGTTTATAAGGTGTTTTTTTTAAGTTGGTGGTGTTAACTAGCATTAAATAGTTACAATTCATAGTTCAGTTTGCCTTTTTTACCCCCCCCCCAAAAAAACCCCAAAATGGAAACGCTCCAGCTTTTTTATCCAAATTATAAATTCATGGGAAAAGTTATTTATCTTTTGTATTAAATATAAACTTTTTGCAAAATTTAATTCATTAGAGTTAAAAGTAAGATAAAAGTAAGTTGATACTTTGGTTCTAGTTCTCTTGGTAGTGTTTTGTGGAAATAAGGATACTTGTATTTACCCAGAATTACATACATAATTTGTTTCTGCTTTCCAGAAGGTCCTTGCAAGAAGCAGGCTATTGGTGCTGACAAACCGCTTGAAGTTAATAATGAAAAGTCCACAAAGGCAGAGCTGAGGGTGGAAACAGATAAGGAATCTCTAAAGAACTTAGAAAAAGATATATCAAAAACCCCAGAGAAGACTCAGTCTTTGCCTACAGCAGCTTCAGCCTTGACCCAAAAAGTAGAACCTACAACAGCTTCAACCGTATCTCAGAAGACAAAATCTGCTTTAGCTTCAAAATTGACTCCCAATGTAACGCCTGCAGCAGCTTCAACTGTGACTCAGAAGACTGCTCCTGCAGCATCTTTAACTGGAGGAAGAATAGAAAGCAAAGCTTCTAATTATGAATCTACACCAGCTAATAAGCACAAATCTGAAAATGTCTTACAATCTGAAAAGAAAGTTGGCTTGGAAAGTACAACAGTATTAGCTTCAAAAAGTAGTACACCTACAAGCGTAGCCCCTATTAAAGTGCCCTGCAAATTGTTGACACATGAAGATGCAAAAGAAAGACAACCATTTTTCAATAGACTCTACAAAGCTGTTGCTTGGAAGTTAGTTGCTGCTGGAGGATTTAGTCCAAGTGTCAACCATGTAGAACTCTTAAACTCATCCATTCAGTCTGTAAAGGCAACATTAGATGTTGAATTTGTTCCACTGAAAGAGCTTGCAGATTTACCTCAAAATAAAAGCTCTCAGGAAAGTATAGTTTGTGAACTGAGATGCAAATCTGTGTATTTGGGTACTGGCTGCGGGAAAAGTAAGGAAAATGCCAAAGCAGTTGCTTCAAGAGAAGCACTGAAACTATTTCTCAAGAAGAAAGTTATTGTGAAATTATGTAAAAGGAAATACAAAGGAAGAGAAATTGAAGATTTGGTGCTTCTTGATGAAGAATCCAAACCATTAAATTTACCTCCTGCTCTACGAAATCCTCAAGAAATATTGCATAACAGCGAATCTGTTACGGCCTATACTAGCAAATGATGTTTTATCACAAATCAATTAGTTATCTTTGTACAGTAAAGGAGAGTCCCAGATATTTTTTATTTCTTGGTTCTGTTTTGCAGAATAAATACCATTATTGTTCTTTTCACTCAGTAGTAAATGTAAATAATTCTTTAAAGATGTAAAGTGTGCAGAGATATGCCTTAAAATTTAGCACACTAGTGTGCTGTTTTATTTGCTAAATAGTCTACTGAACTCTTATATTTTTTAACTAATCAAGGTACAGTTTGCTGGTCAATGCAGTCTCATTTTGTAAGTCCTACAATTTGGTAACAGTAATGTTCATTTTTGAACCCTGATCCTTTATAAACCGTTAATAAAATACGCAAACAACAACCATTGTACCTAGATGGTAAAATGTTATTTAAAAATAGAAATATTTAATCACATGCTTCATGTGTTGGTTATACTGTTCACATGCCTGTTTAAAAAGCAAACTATTGATTTGGATTGTTTTAATTAAGTAGTGGTATTTAAATTTTAATTCAAAGAAGTATATGCTGGTCCTTTTTAATATCAAAATTACAAATTGTCATTAAATCTTCACTTTTCTTATTTTACTAAGGTTCCTCAAAGCGAATTTAATACCCAAATTTGTGAAAAAATCTCACATTCACTTTTTCAAATAAATATAGCTTTCTATATATATATAATGTACTGTTTTCTGAGCACTTTTAATGATCTCAACCCTTTTTTTATAACTTTGATATTTGCTTTTTAAAACTTAAATCTTGTGCTGTAAATGAACAAGTTCAACAAATAGGTGCTAGTTTTATTAAAACATTTGCATTGCGTTCTAATCTTATGTCTGTATTTTCAAATATGTTTTCTAGGATTTAACAGATAAAATTTGTTGCACTAATTTACTACGCAAGAGTGAAAACTCTGCAGTGCTGTTTTTTCTCATAGTTAACACATGTCTGGCAGTGCTTTTTTTTCTAAAGCAGAGCTCTATATTGTGTTCTCTCTGCAATGTTAGCTTGTACTAGAGTCATTACATTTCAAGCATATCTCTATAAATTAAAATCAAATACCACTTTCATTGTGCGACAGCTACTGAAAAATAGAGCAACCATACTGACCCAGGCTGTGATTCAGTAATTCACAAGCATCAGCTTTTTATTTGTCTCCTGATCCAGGTGGAAGCTGTTGATATAATTTAACATGTTTTAAAAGTAGCTAGCACTAAGAATTGGTTTTAGGAATGTATTTTTGCAATGGTTGGGGATCCTCTGTATGACCTGTGCTACCATTATTTTAAACCAGTTTAAAGTTTAATACTTTAAATATTAAATTTATGAATTGAATTATGGCTTCTCTGAGTTTTAGTCATTGATTTGGTGATTTTCAGAGATTTGATTTAAGTGACAGTGTTTCTCAGTTACCACTTTCAGATTTGTGGAGCAACTCCCAAATTTTAGCAAAGGCTAGGCTGGCAGAGGATTCTGGGGTTTGAAGTTCATAAATCTAGAAGTTGCCATAGTTTGGAAACTTATTTAAATTCAATATATTTTTAAAGCACTCTTTTTGCAAGTGTATTCTATTTGGTTTTAATGAATTTATTTTGGGAGGTTCTGAATGATCTATAAATATCTTTTGACAAAAACAAGACTTCCATCAGTAGTTGTCCCTAGCATTGAGATTTTTCTTAAAGTAATCTAAGGAATAGTTAGCCTTTAGTGATTTGAACATCGGGGCCAGGATAAAAATGTTGACAAAAATAATATATTATCATTTCATGTTTTAAATGAAACAAGTAGAAATTACAGCAAAGTATTGCTTGAACTGCTAATATAACAAAGTTCATCTGACCTCTAGAAACCTGTGCCCCTGGAAACCTTTCCAGAGAATTTGGGTATGTGTGTGTCAGAAGCAGTAAAAATGAGAGGAAGATGGGAGCTACTAGCAAAAGAAAGTACTGGAATAGTCTTTATTAAGATATAATGTTAAGATTCCATTTTGGCAATTTCTTGCTGTCGGTAAACTTTTTGGACATCCACATTGTTTAGAAGGATTTGTGATCCTTTGGGAAGGTTTAGAGGAGGAGAGGAAAACCCTTCAATGAACTTTGTTTAACTTCGTAATCCAAAGCAGTATTTTAATAGTCTTTTCAAATCAAATTAAAATAAGTATTGTGTAAGAATACTAGAAAAGAGATGATTGTGATTTTTTTTAAGTGGTATCCAGTGTAAATTACCTTAAATAAAGGCATTTTTTATTTTTAAAAATTTTTATTTACACACACGTAAAATACACATACACAAAACTTAGATGTACACCACATTTACACAATACAATACGAACAGGAGCTTCCTGTTCTTTCTAATAGCAATTGCCAATCAATATCGCTCACCTTATATTGTTTCCCCTTCTATTATATTTCTTTTGTATTTCACCATTCTTAATCCTCTTATCTTACTCCTCTGTCTGCTATATTGGCTGATTACCTCTAGTAAGTTTANACATCAGATCCTATTTGCCTGGTAGTTGAGCAACGCTGTAAATGAAGTGTAACCCTTGACTTCACCTTCAACAGTGTGATGTATATATGTGATCCAGTTTCCTTCAGTGCCATCCAGTGGAATAAATGTATATCACAGTTGTACAAGGTTAAGATATAAAATGTGCAGGAAAATAAGTTATCTTCAGAATGGAAAACTAAACAGAAATGATCAGGATGCTAGATGTAATAATACTGAAATACAATTATTTACTGTAGCTATGTCCTCACATTAATGTATTGCCAATCAAACTTTGCAAACCATGCATACAGATTCTGTAAGATATATATAATTCACAGAATTCATATTATAAGGGTGCCAAAGTGGTGTTTTAAAAATGATTAACAATTAATGGCTATTCGTTTTCCAGAAATTAAATAGTTGGCTAAATTTTACTCTACTATCCTCAAAAATAATAAGAGAAAGTTTTATGTTACCTTGAGCTATCTTCAAATCCTAATGAATAAATGACGCTTGTTGGCAAATGCCCAAAGAAAGAAAAGTAAGTATGTAGAATTAGGAGACTTAACGACAGGGTTCATGCCCTCTACAAGCCATGGCTTAATGATCTACTATATTAAATAAATATTATTGGCTGGATTCCAACAACATATTCAGGAATAACCCACACTTAGGTTCACATATTTTACTGAGCTAAATAAATCACCTTGAGGCTTACTGCATTACCTTTCCTATTTCCCAAAGTTTGAATACACACATTCAGATGATACACTTCTATTAAAATGCATTCTGAGCCAACACGACACCCACTCTTTTCCCAATACCATCCCTACTAGATTGGCACAGACATCTAGTATTTAGCATTACATATGATTATTAGGATATGAGAGGAAATGTAGAAGACGTTTCCCTGTAAATAGAAATATTATTAATACTGACATAATTTGTATTACGGTCACAGACAGCATTACAAATAAAAAGCATTAAAAAGAAAAAAAGAGAAAATATTACAATTAGCGATGGGTTATAAGTGGGCAGTCAAAATCTGCTTAATTCTTCAGACAGTAAAACAAAATTTAGCCACATTCAAAGAAATTACATCATACTGAACTGATAACAGCAATTGTACATAAAAAAGACTAATATTTTATCAGGTAAGGTCTTATGGAGTGGGTTTTTGAGTCCTTAAAGAAGGTACAGTATACTGGAGTGTGAGCTGTAGTTTCGATAGCCCCTTTTCCACAAAGCCACAATCTCAGCTCAATTGATACTGATATTAAACATGTAAGCACTTCCGTTTATGTGAGTGATATGAATTGATTTTTCAAGGAAAGAAGAAAATATCAGAATTCTTAAGACAAGCCGTATGCAAAACAATTCACGTATTGTCAATTATATACTGAAAATGTGGTCACTCTTTCACAAAGCTGCAATGCTATGAGGAATTGCACATCACCAACGACTTCTGATTATTTAAACACAAAGAATGTCTTCCTAAACTGTAAGATGAATAGCGAAAGAGCTTACACTTGTTTATCTGAATGATTCTAACTGGCAGGGTTGATAGCCCATATCTAATTTTAATTGCCACATATTTTGATGCTGTATTGTACACAGAGGAGAGGAGAATTTAAGACAAGATTTTTAGAGCATTAACTCCCCCTCCCCCATTCCTACAACCAACACAAGCTATATCATTGCAGCTTGTTTTTCTGATACAAAACAGTTCCATGGAATGGAACAGATTTATTTCTCCTGAAGTTAGCTAAAAACAAACAGCTGCATCTATTTACATTTCCAGAAAGCAGAAATACAAAAGACCATGATTAGAGAACATGGTTTATTTATACATTTATTGCATGTGAGCGAGCAAGCATCCAATTTCCAATATTCTATTGGACTAAAAAGAATTTGTATAATAGATCTTTCTGTGTTCATGATCCCTTAATTTTGAAAAATTAAAGTAGTCTTGTATTTTTGATTGCTTGATTTGTATGGTTTTTCAGATGCAGCACATGCCATATATATAATTACTTACATATTATAAGCCAAATACTCTATAAACATTGTTCCATAGTACTGGTTTGCTTGCCAGGAAAAGATACCATTACAAGCTGGCAAAGACTGGAAAGTAGTAGGAGCTATGTTTGAAATCATGGAAATGATCTCTGGAAGTCACGGGACTCAAGGGAGATGTTGGGGAGTTATTGGGAGAAAGCAAAATTCAAGATGAAAGATAAAGAGTGGAAATGAAATGCTCCCCACCCAGAGTGGGAGTTTGGGAGGTCCACCCCAGCATGACTTTGGTGAGATTATGATCTGGAAGATCTTTGTTCTGGAGGGACAAGTGAAAGGAAAGGTGTTATTTCCTGGTATAAAAAGTGGTATAGTTGGCAATATGAGGTGGTTACTGCTGAGTGACTTTGTCAACAGCAGCCCCAAGAAGAAGTTTTGGATTGAATGGAGACTTGGGAATTGGAGGGACTGGGGTGAAACAGGCATCTTTATTGGTTCCTTTGAAGAAGTGAGGAATAGAAAGGAAATAGAAAGGAAGTTAAAAAGATTACAGTAACTGAAAGATATGATAGGAGACAAAGGTACAAGACTGCTTTGGAAAGGGGAAATT